ACAGCATTCCAGGCGTTGATCTGTAGCTGAAGTCATATTTTCTGTAATCGAGTTTAGAGGGGTTTACCTTGAGTTTGTGTAGCAGACAATTTTGTGTACTGTGCTTAGATCATACTGCAGGCAGCTCAGTTACAGATTGTCCAAGCCCAAAATTTCAAGTCTGGTGGCATAGGGAATTCTATTGTTAGTAGAGGATTGAGTGTATTACTATGGTTGAAGCTGAAGTAGTCATTGACAGGTAGGACATTGTAGCAGACAATTTTGTGTACCATGCTTAGGTCAGACCTTAATTGGTGTAGTTCTAGGTTCTTCAAGCCCAAAATTCCAAGCCTAGTGGCATAAGGGATTCTATTGTGAGTAGAGGAGTGAGTAATCTTCTCGCGAAGTACCTCTGGACCCGCTCAATTGTATTAATGTCCAATGTATGGTGTGCATTCCAGGCAGACGAGCTGTATTGGAGAATTGGTCTGGCAAAGGTTTTGTATGCCCTAGTTACCAATACAATGTTACCGGAGAAGAAGCTTCGCAAAATTAGGTTAACAACTCTTAATGCCTTTTTTGGCGATGCTGTTACAGTGAGCTCAGGGGCTTAGATCATTTGAGATGAATACTCTTATGTCCTTGACAGAGTGAGGGTCATCTACGAAGTCGGTATGCAATATGCAATGAGCCTTTATCTGGGGGCAGGGAGGGTCAATTTGGGGCTGATACGATTAAGCAAAGACATGAACTGAGTTTGACTCTGATCATATCTAAAAACAAAGAGGAAATGGGTGCAGTCTCCATTTTGTTCTCCATTTTGTTTTCTAGGTTTGTTTTCTCTGTATTCCTTTCCAACGGGCTCAAAATCCCACAGCTTGCCTGTATTTATAACCCTGCTAAGGAGCCACGTACAAAACCTATTCATGTCTATTTATTTTCAAATGTCTAAGGCTGCCTTTTTGTACAATGAGTTTGGGTGGTGTACACAGTGAGAATAAAAAATGTTTTGCTTTGTATTTAATCTTAGTCCAATTTTTCATTGTGCTGCAAATTGTATTTAATAGTTGAAGGAAAAGGGATTTGCAGATATCTTAGTGAATGTATCCATTCTGCTCTCTTTTATTAACAATGTGATGCAGCATTAATACTAAAATAAAAAGGAGCTAGAAATTAAACACTTTTTTTAAAAAAGACGAGACAATCTGATTGAATTGTTCAAAAACCCTCTTCCTTTGCCACTTAATTAATAAAACTTTAATTCAAATGTGGATAAATATCAGCAATTCTTGTTTAAATGAATTTATTCTTCTACCAATGTATAAACTTTGTCAGACTCCAAATTTAAGCAGAATACACACATCTTTGATGCTCAATTAACACTCTAAAATCCCATTAACTAACCTATGGATTTTACACACACACCTATATATATGAATTTTTACATACACACAACCAGCTTTGAATATATTGTATATAAGCTTGATTCCTCAGTGGGCACATCTTTTGTGTATATGGGATATATTTCTTATCTCTATAAAGCCATGATGGTGAACTTATGGCATGCGGTGGCATGCAGAGCCCTCTCTGTGGGCACGAGCAGTCGCCAGCTGCTCTTCTGGTTTCCGGTGCATGCATGCAGCTGGTCCTCGCAGGTGCCGGATCGCCACAAACCTGAAGACCAACTGGCCAGCGCTATGCAAGTGCCTGAAACCCAAAGACCAGGGCGTGCATGTGCATCAGGGCGTGCATGTGCATCAGCCCAATGGTCTTCAGGTTTCCAGCGCTCCAGTGCACATGCACGCATTTCAGTTTGGGTACTCAATGCCAAAAAGGTTTGCCATCACTGCTATAAAGCAATGTCTATTTCAAGTCAATAAAACTTCTATCTACTGAATATCCATTGAATGGAATATTCCATACAATGGGGGGGAGGGGGGAATGGTAGTATTCTCAAAATTGGACCCAGTTGGTATGACCATACATTGCCAGAACCACCACTAAGTAAACTTGACTTTGAAAGTAATTGATTGAATATATTATGTTGTGGAGAAAGAGATGCAGTATTCCCATCGTATCAAATACAATGAATCTTATGCTTCCATAGAGTCTGTTCAGTACAACAAAGAGTCGGTATAGTCTTAGGTTTCTTATTCATTTTAAAGTAAAAGTATCAATTCCCATGCATACAGATTGGCCTTCTCAGTGTTTGAATGGGAAATCTGAATACTAAATTTCGGGAGAGAAGTCATGTCCCTAACCCTAAACATGCTCACTCAAAAGAAAGACTTTTCAGTTTCCAGTGGGCTATTATCTCATTGGATGCTAAGCACTGCAACTTAAATGATCTTTAGTACAGAAATTGATTAAGCAATAGTAAGTAAAATCCCTGTTCTTCTCACCCATAGAAAGAAATCCAGTATATAAAAACACTTGCTTAAGTAAATTGTCTACAATTGTTTCCATCTCAGCCAATCTCCAGTAGCATTGAGAAACCAGATTGAATTGACACTGAACTAGGGGTGAAATCCAGCAGGTTCTGACAGGTTCTGGAGAACCAGTAGCAGAAATTTTGAGTAGTTCCGAGAACCGGTAGCGGAAATTTTGAGTAGTTCAGAGAACCGGTAAATGCCACCTCTGGCTGGCCCCAGAGGGGGGCGGGGGTGGGAATGGAGATTTTGCAATATCCTTCCCCTGCCATGTCCATCAAGCTACACCCACCAAGCCACACCATGCCCATCAAGCCATGCCCACAGAACCAGTAGTAAGAAAAATTTGAATTTCACCACTGCACTGAACTTGTGACCATGTAAGAAATATAACCCAGGGGAAAATAGGCTGTGTGCAATAAGCTCCTTCTCTCTTTTATTAATTTGTCTTCCTTTGAAAGAATTAAATTTATTTGCTAGGATCAGGTGAGGAAGAACGGAGAGCAACATGATCAAGTTGCAGCAGTTGCAGCAGAAGATGGAGAGAAGAAGCCATTAAATTAATCTTTTCGTGGTACAACATTGATTTGAAGCCTGCGGTTGATAGAAAGAACATGAGCAAAAGGGGACAGCAGACTAATCTGTTCTTTCCTTAAAATTCTATTCCCCCAGCAAAGTATTGGCCCAAATTCCCCATACACTTGAAGTGCTTTAATGTTCATGTGTCTGGGATGGAGACAATTTTCACTTAAGAATGTCAGTAGCCAGAAATCAATATTTATATACTAGTCTTTAATGTGAGGTATTTCTGGTGATGTGATAGAATGTTATCTGGATTCCCAGAAGAGAGGGAGTGCATTCCGGAGGAGAAAGTGACAACCCAGTGTAGATAATTTGTGTGAGAGAATGAGGATAAAGACAGCTCCTCCTTAACAGAGTCCAGAATGATGTTATGGCGCAAGTAGTTGGGCAAGATTTCTACCAATAGATCAGAAACAATATAGAATTCTGCTTAGAAGAATTGCAACATCTTTTTTTAGTTTTTGAAATCTAATGATTAATAAACTATGATGTTATTAGTTGTTAATTACATTATGCTAATAAATACAGCATATTATTTTTTTAAGTAATCTTATTTATAGGCATATGAAATTAAGCTACATGGGAGCAGAAGTGCCTGTTTGGGAGGGAGGGAGGNGGCTACTACCAGTACAGCGGTACTGGGCCATACCTCCCGGAACCCACCACTGCCAGGAATGTTGTGTGAAGGTGAAGACAGCAACTCTTTAATTCTCAGGTATGAACAATCAAATCCACATACGAAGAATTCAATTAGTTACTTTGTTGCTTATCCCCATAATCCAGGAATCTTCTCTGGATAAGTTTCAACAGCATTCAATGGGAGAGTCGGACCTTGCCCATGTGTGCCTAGAGATTCCAGACTAATTCCCCACTTGATTTCTCCCCCTGGCTCAGCCAGTCTCTCTCCGACACTAATATTCTCAGAGTGGATTCTTGATGTAGATAGCACTGTATTCCAGTTTGGCAAGATTCTGTCTATAGGTGTGGAACAATAAAGAACTCTGCTTGGAAACAGTACTAGGTGTTTTTCTTGGTTTATTGGGTCTGACAGCTAGAAATGTGAGCACTTAATTGTCGTTTCCTTCACCGTTGCACTGCACTGCTTCTCTCCTCCATCCCTTTCTTAAAAGGGAACAAGAGGGTGCACTTCATTCTTCCATGAAAATGCTGCCTCTGCTTAGATTTGGGACACCGTGAAACAAGGCAGTCCAGTTGCCTCCAGAAGAAGCTCCTTTGGAACAACCATTAGCTGGATGACTGAGAATCTCTACAGACAGTCAGACAAGAGAGGCAGCAGCCGCAATGGCTTAACGGTCAGAGGAAGAAACTTAGAACAGACCTGCCCCAATGGATCTCCAAGCAGTTAAAAGTAGTAGTGGAAAGCTTCTATTTTCAGACTTGCAGATTTTGTTAATGTAGCCTTACAATAAAGTAGAATTAGTTCATCTGCTCCAATGGTGTGTTCCGGATCCCGTCGCAACCGGTACGCTGCGACGGGGCCGGGCATCTACCATGGGCACGCACGCTGCACATGCATGTGCACTCACTGCCTAGTGATGCTCCAGCTGCTTGGCGGAGGTTGTGCAGGGGCCGTACGCTGCACGTGTGTGTGCGCGCAAATGGCCCGGTTGGCTTAAAAACAGGTAAGGAACTCAGGCGGGTGGGTGGGCCCACCAAAGCACCGTTTCGGTACAGTAGCCATTGCTCCCAGTTGCCACCGGTACACCCGAACCGGGGTGTACCGGCCAGAACCCACCACTTATCTGCTCCTATTTGCTGACTTGTTTACCTGGAAGAGGCAGAAATTTGCTCGTTTGTAAAAATGGCGGTTGATAAGGATCAACACTAGTATGCTTGCTACAGGCTTTGTTCTGTTCCAGTCCCGCATCCTCCTCCTCATGACACATATAAATGGGGGTGGTGGGTGGTGGGAGGGTGTGAAGTAAGAAAAACAGTGAATAATTCAGCGCAATCATTCTTACCGCCTCTATGTTTGAGGTGTAGGCTTACCTGGATGCCGTAGCCCGGTCCAGGGGCAAACATGGTTGTGCCAACTTCCATAGAGAGGTTCCGGGGACGGCTCCATGTCACCCCGTCATCCGAGCTGCGAATGATCATGACGCTGGCAGTGGAACATCCCCGGTAGTGTGCACAGAGAGTATATATCAAGAACACCTTCTTCTCTTCCCAATCTATCACCACAGCTCCAAGGTTGAGACCGTCTGTGAGGGAACCATCATCAACTATGAATGAAGTTGGGCTCCAGTTAGCACCTAGGAGGACAGACAGATCACGGATTAAATTTCTCTGCTCGGCTTTTTCAGTCTGATACCAGCCTCCTCTTGGATTACTAGCAAGAGTTGCGCTGTGTTGTGGCCCGCCAGCGGACAGTGGAGCTGTCAGCAGGGTCGGATAGTGAGGAGGTTGGGGAGGAACATGGGCCAGTTCTAGAGGATGGGGAAGGCGCAGATGAGGGCTCTGCATCGGAGGCAGAAAGGGGGCCAAGGCAGTCTGGCAGTTCTCAGCTGCCTTTGGAGGTAGACAGCAGTGAGGCAGAGGAACAGCAGGAACCTGTTTCCAGTGTGCGCATGCGCAGAGCTGCCAGAAGAAGAGAGCAGCTAAGAAATCAGGGTTGACTTGGGAGTAAGGCCATAGGTGGACGATGAATGGCCCCTCCCATGGGAAATAAAAGAGGAGCAACAGGGGAGTGGGCATTCGTTCATTCGTTTCAGGAAAGTGGAGATCTATCCATGAATCTCACAGACTCTGTGCCAAGTCTTTCCTTGCACAGCACTGCGTTTGGAAAATATTTACATGGCAGCTTTCCAATATAGCTAAGGTCTGTGGTCATACATTCACCTTGGAAAGACTGTTTACCAGGCCTTTGCTGATTATGAATGAGAAGAATTCAGATTCATTTAATAAAAGGGGTTTTGTCGGGACCAGGAATTTGCTTCCTGCTTTTTGGGGAAGCCTAGGTCAGAACACACTGTCCATGCAACCCCCCACATGCCCCCCCGCCCCGCACATGCCCCACTTCTGCAGATTTGTGCGAGATCCCTGTGCGCCCCGCTTCCCACGCAGAGACCCAAGGCCAGCTGGCTGGTGGGAGACACACACATATGTGCAGTGGAACTGAACTGGGGCGACAGCCCGTGTGCCATCAGAGAGGGTATTGCATGCCACCTCTGGCATGCGTGCCATAGGTTCACCATCGCGGCCCTAGAGACATCTGCCCCCTGAGACAGAAACCACCGCCTACTCCCGCCCCTCCTGCTTCTTCAGCCTCACAAACCTTTGTCTACTGATCTGCGAAGGGCTATGAATTTAGCTCCGCTGTCAGAATCAGATGTCTTCCTGGCTTCTGAAAAGGCCAAGAGGGTGCCAGAAGGTGTCGCTGTGATGAGAGGGACCCTGAACGTATTTACCTCCCCGATTGCGCCGCCACTGACCCAGAGCAATTGCTCCATGACGATACGAGGCTTCACCTGCTGAGACAAACCAGGGAAGTTCATCAGGCCTTGGCTGCAAAGAAGCAGTTGAGAAATCATATGCATATCTGTTATCCATGAGGCTTGGCCTCTGCATGGACCCCTGCCAGAGGTGGTATTCAGCAGGTTCTGATCAGTGCTGGAGAACCGGTAGCGGAAATTTTGAGTAGTTCGGAGGACCAGTAAATACCATCGCTGACTGGCCCCGCCCCCAATCTATTCTCTGCCTCCTGAGTCCCAGGTGATCAGGAGGGAATGGGGATTTTGCAGTATTCTTCCCCTGCCCCGCCCACCAAGCCACTCCAACCAAGCCACGCCCACAGAACCGGTAGTAAAAATGTTTGAATCCCACCACTGACCCCTGTCCTTGTTTTTTTAAATAATTTTTTTATTTTTATTTTTCAAAACAAAGACAACACATCCTTCTTTACAGGCTGTAGAAAGTGTATCAGTTGGTTACAAAAAGACTTTCGGGCATCTCTTCCACAGTCAACAAACATAATTCTTATTAACTCAAGTATTTTAACTCAGATACTTATACATGTTACCACCATCATATCTCCATTTTCATTTGACTATAATTATTTAAATGTCCTTCATCATAAAGTATACCAAGATTTAATACATAACCACATACTGGCCTTTCATTTACTATTTCTAAAATCCTCCATTAACGCTGAATCCTTATGTCCTATTCTAGCTAAACATCTCTAATATTTAATAACAAAAATATCTAATCCTCCGTTCCAAATCACTGTTTACAATTTACATCCAGTTTCCTTATGTTACACCTTTATCTATATATATATTCTTATCCTTATCCCTCCTTTAT